GGACCCATTGAAATCGCGGTCGAGACATTTCTGGAAGATGCGCGCGCCAAATGGGGCGACGCGTCGTCTGACGGGTTCTCCACATTGAACTTCACACGACGCGTAGTCTCGGCATTATTCTTGCGCCGCCGCAACTCCATGACAAGGTTTGGCGGTGAAGCTGCGGCCACAGCAACGAGCTTGCGCGGCCTCTTTTCACCATTCATGTCCCATGCAAGAATTACGGAGCACTGCGCGGGCGCCCTGAAGAACTGACTCGACCGCACGTTCGGCCATTCCGCTGGTCTGCGGCTGACGTGGAGCGCCGGCATCGCGCCGCCATGCCAAGGGGCGGCATGCCTTCTGCAGCTCGCCAGTCGTCGGCGCACACGCGTTTCACCTCGTCGTCGGGGGCGAGAAACTCCAGGAAAGATGCCTCGGTCGTCTCGGCGCCCCTGCGCTTTGCAGGGCAAACCATGGCTGCGCCTGCGCACTTGACTGAGGTAACCAGGGCGCACTCATCGCCGCGGTCGTAGGCGGCGTCATCTGCAGCAAGAACAGCGCGGTCGGCGGTGAGAGCCCCGCCGAGACGCCCGGGCACGAATGCCTCGCATTGAGCGTCTTCTCCAGAAGGCTGCGTTGGTGGATTAGGCATGCGCCCGCGTCTGCACGGCGCGCTCTGCGCCAGAGTGCGCGCGCGCACTTCGACGCCGGGGTGTTTTGGGCCGCGGGCGACGTAGCGCGCGGGGTCGACGGGTGGCCGCGGGCGGCCGGGCAGCGCCTCATCGCTCGCCGTCGGCGCAGACGCGGGCGCGCCCGCCGGCGCGAACTCATCGCCCACGGGATCGGCGGGATCTGCCTGAAAAGGTCGACGGCACGCATGCGCCGTACATTCACGATGCGATTTGACTGCTCCACAACATGCAACCCGAACGCGTCGACGCCGGCGACGATCATGATGCGGTTGCGGTTGAAAGCCAGCTGGCCCTGGAGACGGGGGATTCTATGTTTTTGTAGTACCAACACATGCATAGGCACTGGTCAGCACGCCCACCTTGCCGCAAGCGTCGCGGGCGCCCAGGGGCTTGCAACGTGGTGGCGAGGTTGTTGAAGTCGAGCTCTAGGTTTCGGTCGCGCACGGCAACCTTTTTACCATTGGCCCTGTGGGTCCTGCAATAAGGAACCCAGTTGTGAATCCCACAGTAATCGAGAGCCGTCGCCATGCACCAGTTGCCCGACTGACGGCACCGAGGGGCGGCCGCCCATCGCAAGGGCGGAGCTGGATAGCCCAACGCGCGGGAGCTGCAGTGGGACGTGCCCGTTGACGATCCTGTCGCCATTGGCCGTTTCCAAAATCTGATCGCGCCCCGCGCGCGAATCGGTGGTTTCGCGTCGTGCCAAGTCGGCCTGGCCCTGGATGCGGCGAGCGCTGCCGCTGTCCAAGATCCACGTCCGTGACAGCGCTGCCGTTGAGCGCGTCGGCGCGGTAGACTCCGTCGCGGGCGTTGCCGCCGACGCTGGGCCGTCGACGGACGGCTGGGCTGGCACCGTGGAAGTCCGGTTTGGGCGGCAAGATCATCGCGCCACTTCTGCGCCTCGAGCTGGCAGGCCTGGAGCGCCTCGGCACTGTCCAGCAGCCGCCAGCCCGGCAGCAGGGCGGGCGCAAAAACGGGGCCACCCTCGTCGGCGTCGGCGCGCCATTTGGCCAGTTACCGCTTGGGCATCGAGTAGGTGATGACGTCGACGTCGTCGAGGTTGAAACGAACGCGGCGTCGCGGTTACGCGGCGGCGCGCGAAGACGCGGCCACCGCGGTTTGTTCGCGAATCACGCGCGTTCGGTCTCGTCGGCGGCCGCGTCGCGACGCTGCAGGCGAGCGGTTTCTGCGGCGCGTCGAGGGGCCGCCCGCAGTGGAACTGCCGCCTGCCGCCGACGCCCGCTGCCGCAGCAACCGCTGCTGCCGCCGCCGGGCGAACGCCCTCGACTGCGCCCGCGGCCGCCGCCCCGCGAAAGAGAGCGGCGGCGGCGCGAGGCCATCTGCGCCGGTCGAGTCGCGGGAAGGCGCCATGTTCTGCGAAAGAGAAACACGAATGATTAACGCCTCCATCTTTGGGCGGCCGTTGCACGCCTCGCCCCGCGTAGAGCCGTCTCTCGCGGGCGCCCCCGCCGGCCGGCGACGCGCGCCCGAGAAGTCGCGGCGAAGGGCGGCTGGCAGAGACGGCGCGCATTTGTTCGCACCGCCCACCATTCTTGCAGCGACCTGCCTTGTAGACAGCGCGCACGGCCAACTCGCGTGAAAGTCGTCCCCTTCTTGCGATTGCGTTGGTTGCGATCGATTCGGCGCATCTCGACGTCGGCCAGTACGCGTTCTCGAAGCCAGTCGCACGCGCGATCGGGGCTTCCCATGTTCATATTGTTGCAATCACGAATCTCGTGCTTCACCCATGGGTGTCCGCGGATCTGCGCTCGGAGAAACGATTCGAATTTTCGCGTGCTGGGTCACGGCATTCCAAAAGCAGACTGTGCCAGTCCACAATAAACCGTTGGACGTCGTCTTCTCGCATGCCGATGAATTGGAGACGTTCGGATCGCGCATGGCGCCGTCGACTTCCGTGACCTCGTGGGATTGCAAGGTATCCCTGTGGATCTGTCTTCCTTGCAACATTCGGCCGGCTTCGTGCTTCTGAGCTTTGAGGTTCTTCATGCGATAACGGAGTTCAGAAGCAGAGATAGCCGAAAGCCCAGCGGCGAGCTTGCAATCGTTGCTCTCGAAGTCACCACTGCCCTGTGGGGTCCTCAAATCTGGTACGAGGCGTTCAGCAAGGCAGGGACAGGCGCATGCCTTGGCAGGACGTCTAGATGCGCCGCCGAAGCTATCCCTGATCATGTGTTGCCACTCTAGATGTAACTGAGTAGTTAGTGCGTGGCAATTGAAAGAATGCGAACAGGATCTGGTCCCTTGATCGGATTGGTGCCACCACGAGAGCACTGCGGAAATTATGCGACGGTATTGGTGGCGTCAGCAATGGCGCACGCACAGGAGACACGCGATGCGTCTGCGTCGAGGCTGCTGCTGAGGCAGCTCCTGGTGACGCACGTCGCGGTTTTGCTGCGAGGATGCTTCCACCGGCGGGGGCCCGGGCACTGTCGGTAGCGAGTTCTGGAGGTTGCGAAGGGCAATGGATCACGGCGTCGCTCACGTGAGCCTTCATGGTGACTTCGGTGGTCGCGAGATCGTTCTGCATCTGCTCGAAACTCTGCCATGGTCCTCGCACCTCGCGTTCAGCGTCATAAGTTCGCTGGGAGTTCCGGTCCAGCCGATGCTCCAAGTCCTGGAATCGTCGGCTGTGTGTTTCGGTTTTTAGTTCCAAACAGGTGAGTAATGCCACCGCCCGTGCCTTTTCAGCGTCTCTTTCTTGGGAGATCTGGGTAAGTCACATCTGCGCGTGGTCCGCCGCATTCGTTACCTCGGCCATTCCGGCGGCGAGGGGGGCGAAATCGCAAACCGAAGTCAGGGTGCCCAGCTGCGCAGTCAGGGTCCGCACGACATGCAATTCAGCCAATGCAGCCTGCACATCAGGTAAACGCTGCTCGCCCGTGGAGACTCGGACCTAAAGCGGTGGCACGCGTCCCTATATGCATCAAGACGCCGAGCAATAGCCGTCTCGGCAACACACAGTTTGCCGTGCAACTCGGACGTGGTTGTGGTACTCTCGGAGTGGAGGTTGGCAGCGGTCACATCAACGTGATCACGAAAAGCAGCGAGGTCATCACGGAGCTGTGGACCCGTAGTCCCATGTACCTCAGTGACAAGAACCTGCCGCAATGTCAGGATCTCGTCGTGTAGGGCCCCGACAGCGGCAGCGCCCGTCAGTGATCCGAGCGTCGACCAGGGCAAAAGCATGCTGTATCTCTTGCCTCAAATGTGCTGCATGCGTCGCGCGATCGGCGCCTGCGGCAGCAAGGCCCGACAACAGGTGGGTCGTGTAAGTTTCAACCTGGTTTCTGGGCTCCGCCAACTCATTAACGGGGGGCGACGCACGTGGCGTCATATCACGCCGCAGGGGATTTTGCCGTGAGCGCCTCTGCGAGGGGCTGCGACTGGTGTCCCTGCGCTGAGACGGAAGATGGTACCGATCGGGGCCTGTTCGCTGTGACGTCGTTCCAGTACGATCCTCGATTGCACGCACGTGTTCAGACACGTGAACCGACGCGGCGCTCGATTGACCTCTGGTGTCCCAGAGGCGGCGTCGCACGGAAGTGCTCGGAAGAGACGTTTCGTTCGCGCCACCGCGGGTGGTTAAACCGGCGAAGATGCTGGAGGAGGAAAAGCGTAGGTGTTTCCACCGACGAGGGTCTTGAACAAATGTTGGTTCCAGGTGACTGAGCAATCGACTGGAAACTGTGTCCAAACCTCGGGTGTACGATTGCGCCGGCACAAAGAAAATGCAAACTGCCCATGTCTGACGAGCAGGATTGTGCCTGCCTTGCACGCAGAAGCTCAAAGGCGGGCATCAGCGCTGCCTTTTCCTGGTAGGGGGGAATGCGAGATCATTCCCTGTCCCACTGCCCTCTCCGTGTCGTCACGAAGCCCACGCGCCGTCGAAGACCCAACGCGCGTAGAGGCGCTGGTCCCCGGAGGGGTCAGCGCCATGCGCGAAGCTCGAAATTGGCGCGAGGTTTCGCAACGGAGAGCGAAGTAGAAAAGGCTGATAACCTGGGAACGGAGGGTAACGACCAATGAGTCGAACCTACCGTATGATCCGTAGGTACAGGATGATGAGGAGAAAAGGTGCGGATGTTTCATCATCGTAACAGGATCCTGCACGATATCCTGAGTGTCCAATACATGAACCGAAAGAATAGCAGGATAGATAGAAAGAAAGGGGAGATGAGCGGTTTTCGCACACAGCCAAGGGAGCGAACAAGAGAACGATGAGCAGAGGTAACGAGGGGAGGACGTTGGGAGACGGGGAAGATGAAGCGTAGAGAATTAGGAAAGAGAGACGGCCAGCGGGTAAGCCTTGATCGAAAGCGGGATGATCAGGTGTTTCTCCTCTTTTCTCGAGTCGCATGTCCTGGGGGGCGGCACTCTCTGAGAGAGGGAAGAAGAGAGAGAAAGAGAGAGGAAGAGAGAGAAAACAAATCCGCCGGCCCCCTTGTGGGGCCACCAGGCTGTAGGCGCGGGATTCGCAGTTTCCTGTACCAGTTGTAGCTTGTAGTTTCCAGTGTTACAGTTCTGCTTATTGCTGGTTACTGTAAGTAGTTGAGGCCCAAACCGGCATTTTAGCACCTCCTGGGCGCGTTGTCTGAATTGCTGGGGGGGCTCGAAATCGACACCCCTCACACAGATCGGCGGGGTCAGGGTCCAAAAACACACGGGATTTGCTACATTTCTGAAATTCGGCGCCACCCCTCACACAGATCCGCGGGGTCAGGGTCCAAAAACACACGGGATTTGCCACATTTCTGAAATTCGGTGCCACCCCTCACGCAGATCCGCGGGGTCAGGGTCCAAAAACACATGGGATTTGCCACATTTCTGAAATTCGGTGCCACCCCTCACGCAGATCCGCGGGGTCAGGGTCCAAAAACACAAGGGATTTGCCACATTTCTGAAATTCGGTGCCACCCCTCACGCAGATCCGCGGGGTCAGGGTCCAAAAACACAATGGATTTGCCACATTTCTGAAATTCGGTGCCACCCCTCACGCAGATCCGCGGGGTCAGGGTCCAAAAACACAGGGGATTTGCCACATTTCTGAAATTCGGTGCCACCCCTCACGCAGATCCGCGGGGTCAGGGTCCAAAAACACAGGGGATTTGCCACATTTCTGAAATTCGGTGCCACCCCTCACGCAGATCCGCGGGGTCAGGGTCCAAAAACACAGGGGATTTGCCACATTTCTGAAATTCGGTGCCACCCCTCACGCAGATCCGCGGGGTCAGGGTCCAAAAACACAGGGGATTTGCCACATTTCTGAAATTCGGCGCCACCCCTCACGCAGATCCGCGGGGTCAGGATCCAAAAACACAGGGGAGTTGCCACATTTCTGAAATTCGGTGCCACCCTTCACGCACATCCATCGCAAGGCGTGGTAACCCAAACTGCGAGAACTCCCTCGGCCCTTTAATCGCAAGGTGTGGTAACCAAGCCCGTAAACCATACACGTCTTACCAATCGCCAGGTGTGGTAACCCCTCTTGTGATCAGTTGGTTTTGCTGATTGCGAATCGGCTTCGCATGAAGTTTCGATACTGCTTCACGACAGCGCCAAGGCCTCATGGCTTAGCTCTTCCATGGCCCATTCTCCGAGAGAGGGGGCCGGCGGCAGGGGGCGAAGCCCTTACGGATAACAAAGAAGACAGACAGAGAGAGAGAGGTGAAACAAAGAGAGAAATAGAGAAACAGAGAAAGAGAGAGAGAGAGAGAGAGACAAAGACAAAGAGCGAGAGAGAGAGAGAGAAATGAAGCAAACAAAACGTACGAAGCCATGCATTTGAAAACGAAGATCTCGCCTGAACGGCAGGCCCATAGGGGGGGAAATAATATTTCGGGTGGCCCTTCCCGCAGAAGAATGGAGTACGGCAGGTTCGCGTCGTGTCGACCCCGGCGTTGGTTTCTGACACCGCGGGGATCGTTCAACCTTGAACGATCGGCAATTTCCGAAACGTCCAAATCGTTCCACATCGAACGATTCTGGGTCGCCCGCGGCGTTCAACCTTGAACGCCCGCGCTGGGGTCGCCGCTGGTCGACACGACGCAAACCTACCGTACTTGATGGGACGTTGGACGGGAGGGTGCATTGCAGCATCGCTGGCGAATCCCAAAACTCCTCTCTGGCTCTCCTCCTTATCCGCCACGGTGCCTCGAGGCACGAACTGGAAGGTCCCCTAAAGTTCTCTGCTTTTCAGCAACGCAAGCAGTTACAGGGGCCCAAAGTCCGGAAGTCTGGGCATTCTTGGACGTTCCTGGGGTTGCTCGCGTGACTTTTCCAAAGGGCAAGAGCGCGCTCTTCGGGACATGCATGTGCAGCACGGCCTGTGGTGGCCCCGACAAGCGTCCTGGAGCTCTTTTGGGCGCCTCCTTGGCCGTCTGGTCTGGGAAGCTCTGGAGGGCGGCACAGGAAACCAAGATCATCGAAACCCATCGGCATCTTCATGGTTTGAACATTGCCGCCTTTTTGATCTTCAGAGCCGAGACGCCCAAGGGGCGCCCAAAATCGCCCAAAAACAGCCGAAGAGCTCCCAAGCGGGGCCAAACGAGCCCTCTAAACCGTATCAAGAGGGCCCCGAGAGGGGGAACACGAACTTACATTTTGAGCCCTTCGCCAACGAGGAAACAAAATCGGATACCGTGAGGCAAGAGCATCGACTGACCCAGAATAACGAGGATGCATCGGGCGAATATGGCTGGACGACCTCAGGCCAGGTCATATCCGAGCCCAGAGTTGTGACGAAGTGTGAAGCGAAACTGGCTGGACCAGCTCAGGTCAGGGCATCCATGGGCCCTGAGTTGCGAGTGTGTGTGGGGGGGAAGCTGGATGGTCCTATCGCGTGCCTCGAAGTCTACAACTGCGAGGATGTCTCAAGCCAAAAGAGCTGGACCGCCTCAGGACAGCGGCGAGGATGTCTAAGCGGAATGGGCTGGACTATCTCTCGCGCGGCATCTCGAAGCCCGCACTTGCAGGGATGTCTCAGGCGAGACCGACCGGAGCGCCTCGCAGGCGGCATCTCAAGGCCCGAAATAACGATGATGGCTTCGCCGAAACCGACCTGGACAACTTCTCGCATGGGGTCTCCTAGCTCCCCCCCCTCCTCCTGGGCAGGAGATGGTCAATCGCGATTCCTTGTCCAACCCCATTGTTCCCCTTCGGGGATGGGGTCATCGCTGCTCCTGGATAATATTTGCCTCCTCGCCCAATCCACCGACCGCTAACCCGAGTCACTGCCACCCCCTACGATTCCAACCAAAAAAAACTTGAAATACCTTCAGGCGGCTCCCCCATTGGAGCTCGGAAATGCGATGCGATCCGTCAGAACCATGATCATCAGATTATCATGGTTATGTAGATCCGCCACCGTGCCTCTGGGCACGGAGTGGGCGCGCCCTCAGCATCATCCTCTCAACCTCAGTCTTCATTATTGAGGAGTCGTTCAGATACCTAGACCCCACATCGCGAAATCTTCTCCTGGGGCTTCTCGCGGTTTCTCGCGCGACTGTTTCGGAATAGCGGGGGCCTACGTCCTACATGGCTTCATGATGACCCAAAAGGCCTCCAAGATGCCCCAAGAGGCCTCGAAGATGCCTCCCAAGAGAACCCCGAGAGGCAAAAACCATTGACTTGCCTTCGTTGCTTGAAAAATGTTGGCGTTCTCGCCTGTTTCCTTTCCGACGCTCCCAGACGGCCCGAGGTCCCCAATACCACCCCAGGAGTGCCCAAGAGACATCCAAGAGGGCCCCAGGAGCCCCAAGAGGCACCCAAGAGGCCTGAAGAGGCTCCAAGAGGCCCCCAAGGGACCCAACAGCGACCCCAAGAGGCTCCAAAACTGCCCCGAAGAGGCCTCAAAACTGCATCCAAGTGGCCGCAAAACTGACCCCAGGCGGCCTCAAAAAAAGGTCAACCACGAAATCCCAACGAACATCCAATAGGCTTCCTACCTACAACCTAGGCACAGTGGCGGGAAGGCCATTCGATAGAGAGGAGTCCGAGGTGCAACAGAGAATCATGAGTCCAGGGGGCGAGGCTCAGGCCTGGATGTCTCACCTGAACCCTTCCTGTCGTACTCGGAAAGGAACCCGACAACAAACGAATCAAACATACGTCGCTCAATTGGGGTCGGCGGCAGAGGCGGCAGCCTTTAGATCCGGCCGCTCCCGCCCTGCGGGTTGGGCCGTGCGAGACCTCTCTGACACAGTGTCTGGCACAGTCTTTGGCCCCCTTCTCCAGTGCCTGGTCAAAAACCTCCTGAAAGTCCCTCCGAGGGGGCCCCACTCTGCCGCCGCCCCCCCCCCCCTCAAGGTCTCAAACGGCCCGGGGACGACCCAAGGGCGCCCCAAGCCGGTCCAAGAGAGTCCCGAGCAGTCCAAGAGAGCCTCCAGACGGTTCCAGATCGCTCCAAGACACCCAAGATGGCCTCCAGACGGCCGAAGACGCCTTCAAGACGGCCCAAGAGGGCTCCAAGAGCACCCCCAAGACAGCCCCGAGAAGCGAAGATCATTGATTTTCCAATGGTTTTTGAAGGATTTTCACGTTCACGCCATTTCGGCTTACCCACGCTCCACGACGGCCCAAGAGGCCCCCAAGATCGCCCCAGGACGGCCCAACAGGCCCCCAAGACGGCCCCAAGACGGCCCAAGAGGGCCCCCAGACCGCCCAAGAGGCCCCCGGGACGGCCCAAGAGGGGCCCCAGGATGGCCCCAAGAGGAGGCCCAGAAGGGGAACCCGAATGAACATTTCGAGCTTTCGGCTCAAGAGGCCCCCAGGAGGCCCTAAGAGGCCCCCTGGAGGCCCCCATCAAACCCCAAGAGAGCCCCAAGAGGCCCCGAGAGGGCCCCAAGAGGTCTCCAAGAAGCCCCTGGGACGCCCCCAAGAGGCCCCTGGAGCGTCACGACGTTCGATGCTGCGCACCACTTCGACAAACTCCCAGGGAGCGGCCAGTGATGCGCCGCCGGCGTCCTCGATGACCTCGCATTCCCAAACTGTCTTGCCCGTCTTGACCCAGGCGCCCTCCATCCACATGGAGTTTGGGTCGCCGCAGGTTGGTTGCACGCGGGCCAGTAGTCGCTCTGCTTGTAGCACTTTGCACTTTGCGCCTGGGTCAGAACAGCACCTGGTAAAGGCGACGCCACCGTCTGTGAGTACATGTCAGCCTCGTTGGGACCCGCTCCACCAACATCTCTGGCGGCCTCGACAATGATAGCCTCGGGAGAGGCAAGAGGCGTGGCCCCCGTGGAGGGCCCCGCGCGCCAAGCCACAGCCAGCAAAGCCAGCGCCGCCGCGGCCGCCGACGGCGCCGCCGC